GAGCCTCTCCTTCCTCACTCCCCATCCTCATGGCCCCTGAGCTTATTTTTCAGGGTTCCTGTCTCAGGCCATGGTCACGTATGATTCCACAGCAATGCCATGTGGTCAGGTTGTACGTATCACCCATTTGATGGATGAATGAATAGACCCTGAGAGTGGTTACGTCCATTTTCTAATGCCACACAGTCAGGAAGGGGCAGAGCTGGGATTTGAACACAAATCTGCACTCTTAACCAATGTGCTCTCCTGCCTGTCACCAAGACTTTGGTGAATCAAATAGTGCTTCACCTGCTGATTAACCAGGTGATGAATGGTTTTGTATAAAACAAATTAATCCTTACTTTGTTTTCACATCTTGGGTTTTTCAGCTTGATTTGATAGGAAGTGTATTTACTATACAACTGAGTGAATTTTATGGCATGTGAATTGTATCTCAAAGAAAAAGAAACCCGATTCTCTAAACCTTAACTGGTTGTTCGAACTACCAATTAGCTTCACTGTAATCCTGTCACTAGATGGGTTCTTCTGTGAAGGTAGATTTCAATGTTTGGAAAATATTGCATGGGAGTTTTTCAACTTACTGTGCCAAAAAGGAAACATGAGTTCTCTTTTAGGACAAGTCTAGTAATGGGCAAATGACTACTGTGATCAAATGACTAACTGGTAGAAAATATTTTTCTAGGAGTGTTGGGTGTGGCAGGAATGTGCTTGTCATTTTTTTTATGTGTCATTTATTCATTTGCTATTTTTAGCATTTCGCTTCACCTCCTCCCCTCCCACTTTCTGCAGCACACCACAGCCTTGCTGGACTCATTAGCCGAACAGAACTTTATTAGTAATAAAGAGGAAACTTTTGCATTGCATTTGTGTCAATCCTTAAAGATGGAAGTTTTCTCCCTGCATTTTGTGATTAATCATTTTTTCTCTTACAATGAAAGAAAACAGAAACCTCCCTAGGGTGTTTTCTTACTCCATATCAGTTTTGTATGTTGTGTGTAGACATTAAAAGAAATGAAAGCTTGTTCTACATAGGAGATGAGTTTTTATTTTCACATTCCAATATTCATCTTAAAAAATAAAAATATGTCTAGGGACAATTACCAGTAGTTAAGGAATTTAGAAAAAAGTAGGAAAACCATTCTCGGTTTAAGGTAATTGGTTTGAGGTATTTTAGTTTTTGATGATGTTAGGAAAAATATCTCCAGAAATTCCCTGATAAATGTGTTGTCAAATAATATTGCTACGTTAGTAGTGGCGGTGGTGGAGGCATTGATGATGAATGAAATTTGCTGAGGTAGCATATACAATAGCTACAAAACTATCTTCTATTTCTTCCTTTACATTAAAAAATACATGTATCTGTATATCCTTTATCTCATCTTTTGAGGAATAAGTGTAAAATATAGTATTCTTTTTAATTAACATATAGTTGGGCTGAACTGGCACATCAAGACTGGTTGGGAATTGAAATGCAAAGTGCTGAGTATGAATAGGGCACTGAAATGAGGGAGTGTAGATCACCCTACATCGTTCTACGTAGAACAAACACCTGGGCATCTATGGGGAGCAGTAAAGTCCCCATGCAATTTAAATGCCTGTTGCTGAAGAAGGGCTTGGATAGGGCTCAGATGTCCACCTTCTGAGAGAGAGGACCTGGGGTGCAGAGGCTGCATTGTGACTGCTTGGTAGAAGCCTGTTCCCACACATTGTTCACAGCAGGATAGCTTTGGACCTTGGCAGTCTGGAAGGGCTAGCTTGTTATGTGATCCTGGTCAGTCACTTCCCTTCTGGGCCTTGGTGTCCTCTGCAGAGAAATAAAGGTGTGGCAACCCTCATTCCCTTACAAGTCCATTGCACATGGTGACAGACTTTTCAGTATTAAAGGTCTGTGTTGAACTTGCGGATCTGGCTTCTCTGCTTCCCTCTCCCCTCCAAGTAACCTCAGCCTCTGGAAACGTATCTTCTCCATTCTTTTACCTGCATGTTCTCCCACGTCATTCTCTACAACTTTGGTGAGTCTGTGGAAAGAAAATCAAATGTTCATTATTTCTTATTTAACCACAAATCTTCATTTAACCCATAAAGAGCCACAACCTTAAAAACAAGGTAAATACTGTCCTTAAATATGGAACAGATGTGTGACTAATGATGGCCACAGAGATCAATGGGGTTGAAGGCTGTACTATTTAGAGCTCTCCAAAGAAACAGAACCAATAGGATGTATGAACAAAATAGATAAAAAGAGATTTATTATAAGCAACTGGCTCATGTGATTCTGGAAGCAAGCAGCTCTCAGGATCTGCACAGTGAGTCTGTGAACTGGAGACAGGAGGGCAGGATGAGCCAATATTCAGTTCAAGTCCAAAGGCAGGGAAAAAGCTTATATCCCGGTTTTGAGGCCCTTAGGCAGGACACCCTTACCTGGGGGATGGTCAGCCTTTTTGTTCAATTCCGACTTTCAGCTGACAGGACGAGGCCCACTCACATTGGGGGTGAAGACAACCTGCTTTACTCATTCTACCCATTCTACCCATTTAAATGTCAATTTCATCTGAAAAGCCCTCATAGAAACACCAGGATAATGTTTGACCATATATCTGGGCACCCTGGGGCCCAGTCAAGTTGACACACAGAATTACAAAGGCTCAGCAGGATAAGGACAGGAGGCATTGTAAACACAGAGAAGTCATAAAGTCCCTTCTCATCCGCATTTTCTACTAAATTCAGTTTTAGAAGTACCTATACAATAAAGAGCATTGATGGAGATACTAGTTCTCCTGAGACATAATCACACACATCAACAAACTTCTTGATCTCCGAAGGCCTGTTTTAGGCTGTCAGAGTCTTCCATCCCCTTCTCCCTGCAACAGACCCAAACACCTGAATCTATCTTCTTGCCATGAATTCACCTGCATTTTGTCCCAAGTTTTGGATGGAGAGGTCTGTGTATGCTTGAAGGTTATCAAAGTGTTTCTGAAAAAAAATTTAGATTCTCTATGTATCAGTTAAGATGGAACTATGTGCCTTGCAGTGCTCCTTTGATGTATAGCTACATAAATACATTTTAAATGTTTTGCCTTTTAAAATACATACTTTGTAAACTGCAGAACTCAGTGAAAAGATTGTCAGCTTCCTTGATCTACAGTGATTGGCACAGCCTGGATCTTTATTTTTGTCGTTCTAATCTATTGTGATGGCCTGGGATTACCTTCTAGTGTCCAGTGACTCATTGGCTTTCTGTCCTCTCATGCCTCCATCCCCAACAGAACCCCTAGAAAGGATCTCACACACTATTTCACATGGAGGTGTAAATGAGGGTAAGCTTTCATGCATTACCCAGTCTAGAAGTATCTACATGTCATTAGAAGACAGAAGATTATATCTGTAATTGTGGATTTCCAGAAATCAGCTAGAGAAGGTATTTGTGAGACAAAACTGGAAGCATAGATTTTTCTGTGCCTTAGAGCTCCTGGTAGGTGTCAGTTTATGGTTACATAATGCCCATCCTTATCTTTCTAGAATCTAGCAGTCTCTAATATGGCAAGACCGAGAAGAGATTTGCAGTTTCAGTTTGAACTGTTTTGTTAGTCAAGAGCAGCGGTCCTCACTGAGACTGTGCAGCAGAATTGCTGAATATGCTTTTGAAATGTAGACTTTTCTAGGCTCACCCCTCATGAATAGAATCTTCAGGCACTGGGCCTGAGCATCTTCATTTTTAAAAGCCAACAGGCCATTCTGGTATTCATTCAAAGCTGATGCCGGTAGGCTGTTACATTGCTAATAAGGGTGTCCAGAATCTTAAGGTTAAATTCACTATGGAGACTGAGAATTTTCAGTGCCCTTGGGGACTTTGTTGGTTTGCTGACAAACAATGACGAGTCACCATATTATATTAGATCTCATAGCCATTGTATTTCTTTCATACCTTCCTAAGATATAGATATAGAGAACTTGAAGTTGGTCTGGAGAATACCCAGAATTCATATTGTTTTACTCTAGGGGCAGACTAAAGGGGATATACTGTTAAGTATTGGAGATCCTTCAAAATGTCATTTATCCAGGATTAAAGATTGATCTGAAAAGTTGACTGTGAAAGGTTAGGATCTGTTAAGGTGCTAAACACAGCAAAATGAGAGATGCAATTGTTACAAATGGGACAGCACAACTCTTGCACTGAATCTTTGCTGCAGTCTTTCACTACAGACCCTCTCTTGGATTCTGAGGTTGCTGTGAACATTTGAAGCCCAGCATTTGGTTGTCTGACTGAATGATCATGTCAGCGGGTTACTAGTGCCTTCCTTCACCTATTAATTTATCTTTAAATGATGATAACAGTTATATATAACATATTTTGACACCGTTGGAGGAAGAGAGAGCGTTTGACTATTACTTTACCAACTCATGGTTTCACTTTGGAAGAAGTACAGATTTCTGTTGTTTGAATAATTGTATGTGCTTTGGTTTTATTCCGATGTGTAGCTGGTGATTATGCTCTGATATACCTAAAATAGAAGTAAAAGGTCTATTTGTTCTTATCCCTGAAGTCCATTTGCTGCTTATTTTGAATCATTTACTTAGAATGTACAGAATTGTAAAGCCACTGCCTCTATTAATCCAGCATCTGTTTGTGTGCAATTCAGTTAATCTGGTTTAAGATCAGAGGCTGTAAACATGAAGGGAAATGAAACAGTGGAAGAACTGACTAACAGTTGCGCATCCTGCCGTAAGCATGGTTTAGAGTGTTGTGCTGTTTTGCCGTGGCTCTGAATTGGGACCGCCGGCTTGCTTTCTTTATGGCCGTCATGATGAAGTGCAGGCCTGACCCAGTGTGTTCTGGCAGATGGGCTTGAGATGGGATGAGCAGGGGAGGCTAATTTCAATCAGGCAACACCCACTGAAACAAATTTTCCCTTGAAGTGTGTGAAAGGGATCACATTTTCAATCTGACCCATGAAAACTTCTCATTTGTATTGAAATCCCCCCTGTCCTTGCTTAAACAGATCCAACAGTGGGAGCAGAACCTGGAAAAATTTCACATGGACCTGTTCAGGATGCGCTGCTATCTGGCCAGCCTGCAAGGCGGGGAGTTGCCTAACCCTAAGAGTCTCCTGGCGGCTGCCAGCCGCCCCTCCAAGCTGGCCCTTGGCAGGCTGGGCATCTTGTCAGTCTCCTCTTTCCACGCTCTGGTACGTTCCCGAGGATGGCCGTTTCCGTGGGGCTCAGGGAGGACTGCGGAGGCTCACCTTCCTCCGGCTGGTTGTCATTCTCCTCTGCTGAGACTTACCCCAGCGCTGTCCAGGAGCCAGGCATGGGGGGTCCACTCTGGGGTCTCTGCTTCTCTGCTGCTTATTTGAGGAACCCAACTGCTGGTGGACAGTTACTAAATATTCAGGTCTGCATCTGCCTTTCTGTCTGATCCACCTCATGTACTCAGGAAGGTGGAATCCCCGAGGAGTAGCGATAGTAGTGTGAAGAAGTAAAGGGCCGATTGAAGGGTTTTTTTTTTTATCTGTACTGCAGAGGGCCCTGCTGGGTTTTCTGAATTTGGCACTCTGTGGACAGTACTATAGCTCAGTCTGGGGTTTTGCGGGTTGTTTTGCTGACCTCGTTACCCACCCTGGAGAGATCCGAAGGTTGTGACTAGGCTTGTGTTATCCAGATAAAGAGAAATCTATATGGTGGATGCATTTCTGGTATGTTAGACATGCAGTAGCTTTTGGTGCTGGTCGCAGGGCACATACAGCAATCAGGGCTTACTGACGTTAAGGCAACAGTTAATTCTGTCCCCCAAGTTGTAAGCTTTACTATTTTTTTAAACTGTGTTTTTAATTAGGTATGTTCTAGAGATGACTCTGCTTTCCGGAAAAGAACGCTCTCACTGACCCAGCGAGGAAGAAATAAGAAGGGCATATTTTCTTCATTAAAAGGGCTGGACACACTGGGAAGAAAAGGGAAGGAGAAAAGACCTTCTATAACTCAGGTGAGTTCCCAGCACAGGAAGACAGCAGACCCAGTGGGAAATCCTTGATGTGCACCAGGTTGTGAATGTTCACTGTCCATTCAGAATGAGATCTAAGTTGGTTCAAAGCGGGGCAGTCTTTGCATGGACATTTTCCCCAAATGAAAACACACCCATGGCTCAGCCTCTTTTTGTCACTTCCAAAGAGATATTCCTACCTTGCTCACGTGTGCAATACTCAGGAACACAAAGATAAGAGTAATCAGAAAGAATCTGCATTTTGCATTGCCTTCAAAACTCATATTGATTTTCCCCATAGGTTGTATGTTAAAATAAACATGTGAAATTAGTAATAATCAGAGTCACAGCAACTAAATGCTATTGAAAGTGCCAGACACTTTGCTCACTTAATCTCTGTGACACCAAGTAGACATTTTATCAGCACATTTGGGAGATGAGGAGCCTGAGGCCTGGAGAGGTTAAGTCAGTTCCTTGACCCTGTTCGCACAGTGCCCAAGGGGCAGGGCTGGGACGCGCTCTACCTGGATCCAAAGCTTTGCAGCACTGGACTGTTGCTGCTGGTTGTTTTCCCAAAGGAAGGGTGGCTCTTTTAACATTTTATTAAGTAAAAATAGCCTGAGCACTTATTGTTGAAATGTGGCCCATGTACAGTGAATTTTTTTCAGAACAGTTCAAATACTCATATCTGAAGTATTTCCTGATGCCGTTAATACAGTATATGATAATTAATGTTGCTGATTGATATGTTTTGGGATTATTATTTTTTTCAAAGACTGTTGAAAAGATGAGTTATAACATGATGATCTGATCATTTAAGTGAATAGGGAAAATGCAGTTAAGTCTGAAAAGAAATTTCTTATTTTCACTCTTAGCAGGTTGCTGTTATTCTGAATATGCTTTCACTATCACCTGAAAAATAGGGTCACATTCTATGGAACTTTATTTTCTAATTTTACATGGATATTTTTTAGAATGTGTATAATAGTTCAGTGGATTGGATGAATAACAGGGATGGAATCAATTTCTTTGATCTCTTTACAACTCTGGGACAATTAAAATAGATGTGGTAGGGAAGGGGTTGGTTGGGAAAGACAAAAATACATGGAGCTTCTGTTGTGCAGTGCTGTTTTTGTGTACTCATACACAATTGGAAGGAGTAACACATTCTGAAATTGTGGTTGTTCTTGTACTGTAATTGTAAGAAGTAATCATTTATTGATTATAAATGGAAGCATATTTCTTCATTACAGATTATAGTCAGCCCTGAACCATTGGCTAATTCTGGGCTTATATTTTTTAATCGAACTTCTATGAAGTTTAAATTATGCCTTAAGGAAAGGTCTGATTTTAATCAAGATAGTCAGTGCTATATGATTAAATGATAATACTAAGTAACTTGATAACTTGCTTACTTTTCTTTAATGTTGACATTTAGTTGATTAGACATGAATCTGATACGGTCTTTACCCCATGATATTTGGTAGATGTTGCTAATGTGAGATTTCCTGAGGAAAAAAAGCCTTTGGTTGAGCATTTTTGCATTAAAAAGTTGTGAAACTAATTGTAATGTTGGTATTTGTATAGCTGAATGAAGTTGATGTCATAGGTATCCATAAATGTTTCAGTGACTTATTCTTTAATGTTTATTATTTTACTACAAAATATAGAAAATAAACATTAGAAAAAGTAAAGGAATGTCTCACCTCTCTACCCAAACACAACCACTTTTAATATTTAGCTATATTTCTCACTGGTATTTATTCTATGCTCTTTTTACAAATGGTTATATGCTTGATTTTGGTGGCTTTGCCAACTCAACTTGGAGTTCTGTTCCACATCTTCAGAAATGTGTACTGCTTGGTGAAGGGCAACATCAAGAAGATCCAGGATAATTTAAATAATATATGACATCAAAGAAAGTAAAATGCAGAACCATATAGGAAGAAAGAAGGAAAACTTTTCCTTTAAAGTCAAAACTTCAAATGTGGTACAGTAGTAAATTGTACAAATTGTGATGTGAAGATGTTATAAAACGTTACAGAACTTAAAAATTTAAGTACTGAAAAGGGTAGCTGCCAGTTGCAGAGGCGTCCCAGTGTCCTCCCTTGCCCTCCTGTCCATCAGGTATTTGATTCAAGTGGCAGCCATGGCTTTTCTGGAACTCAGCTACCTCAGAATTCCAGTCACCCTCAGGAGGGGGCCATTGCTGTAGGTAGATGCCAGCCATCTCCTTTTCCTTGGATGACACGAATGTCAGGGAATCCAGAACTGCCCTTTCCGCTCAGGATTGTCTGGTCAGGCATCTTCACACAGCACCTGATGCTGTGGCTCAGCAGTTTGGACCACCATGGCCCCTCAGTGGCGCTGAGTACAGGGTTCCCTTACAGTGTGCAGAATGGCTTCTGATTCAGCAAATCCTCAGAACTGCCTGAATGGCATTCTGGAGTAGGTGAAGATGATGAGATCAAGCTTCTCCGTTGTGTCTCTTTCAGATCCACACCTTCCCCTTAAAACTATTTCTCAGTCTTCACCAGATTGTTTTATCTTATGGTTTACGTCCTCTGAACCTCTTCTCTACTTGTTGAGATTCAAACCTGATTTTAGTAGGCTTGGACAACTTCACTTGGTTTTGCGGAAGTAGGCAGTATTGTTTAATAAGGTAATTGGGATAATTCCATGAATTGGCAATTTAGTATGAAAAAACAGGAATAGTGGAATGTTAGACACTGTGGAGGAGGTGAATGAGGAACTTTCTGGTGATCCTAAAAATAGGCAACCACCTATTCTGCCTTCCCGCGAAGCTGGCTCCGGCTATGGACCCTGAGCTGCCCAGGGTGCCATAGGTATTGTTGACACCACTCCCCGGAAAAGCGCTGGCTGTCGTGTCCTGAATGGCACAGAAAAGCTCCGTCTAAACCCTGTTCCCTTTCCCCTCCCATTCTCAGCATCAGGGCTGTGAGAGGGCAGGCTGTCATGGCCTGTGCCAGGAGGCCAAGTCTCTGGTGTTGCCCCTGTCCGTGGTGCTCCTTTGTTAGATTTGACCGACTGTGGGGCCATGAGAAGCCAAATCCAAGCCTTCCTTTTTATAAATCATACTATCACCATGGCAGACTTTTAGTAATAAAGAATTTCTGTTCCCTGTCCCTCTATTTCTGTACACATGCAGAACTTAGTTCAAATCAGGATCAAATCACACCACCTTCTGGGAATTTTGCCTGTGTTACTAGCACAGGTTTCCCCATTAACTGAAAGTAGCACGTTCCTGTGAAACTTTCATAAGCCAAAATGGCTTAAAGCGAAGAAGCAATTACCATTAATTGATACGGAAATTTTTTTAAGTGTTCCCAGACAAAAAAATCACCCCTCTTAAGTTTTTCTGATACCTTAGGACACATCTTGCCAATGGATGCACAAAATGAATTGAGAAAATACACAGATGCTCATAGACACAGTTCGAAGCCAAGGTGGCTCGCTGTCAATCAGGATGTGGAGCGCAGTTCTGGGGGAGGAGCTTGGTGGCACCACCCTCACTGCTCAGGGTGTGCTGCCTGTAGAACAAACACGGTTTTTGCTTTTTGCCTTTTCGGTAATAGTGAAAACCCTCTTTCTGTTTTGGTTAGTGAAAACGGGCAAATGTAGGTCTTTTATGAAAGTGAAATGGCATAAGGCAAACTTTGAAAAATGAGGGAACTTATTAAGAGTAACTTTTAGTTACCTTTAGAGTAAATCCTTCATGTCTCCCAGGCAAACTTGTAATTAGGACCCTTGCTCTTTATAGTTTATGTATAGATTATGATTATGTATACTCCGTCCATAACACACTGTTGAGGGTGTAGTATTGCTTAATACATTTGTTTATTAATTGTCTATATCAGATGTAGTCCTTTAATGGTTGAGAACAGTTTGATCTGCAATAAAAACCCATAATTTAAGGTCTTGTCTCTTCCAGTATTAAATGACAATGTAAAATTCTTCCTTTGAAAGTTAAGAAATTCACTCACAAAGCACTTTCTATTAACAGAACTTATGTTGGACTTTGAAAATAAATCTTGTTAACAGCCATTAATGGTCAGAATTAAGCTTAGTGCATATTTAAATTGGCTCAAATTACTAGATGATCATTTTGTGATTTAATAGACAAGTCTCATTACCTTTATAATGAGTGAGAAAAAGCATTATTGCACCTGTTTTTTAAAGCATACATATTTAAACATTTATACCTATTTATTTTAACTGAGCATTGTTTCTGGTATAGGGACATTGAAGAAATTCTTTTGGCATATAGGATTAGTTTAATGGCATATTTATTATCTTTGTACTGAAGTACTGAGATAACTAGGCTTAAATTGAGTTGCAGATAAAATTAAGGGTATTTGTTTTTTATATCTCTGGGACTTAAAATTCTGCCTGTAGCTGACTGAATAATTAATATTTCATCTCACTAGCTTTCCTCTGCTAATCATTCTTGGAGAATATTTATAACTTTCACAAACCATCTATCTGTATATATAGTCACTCTGTTGTGTCCATTAGCGTAACAGAGAAAGGCAGTCATTCCCACACGTTGGGAGGGAGGGCGTCATGGGTATTTTTAAATATTCCGCTCTAATTGGTACATCATGTAAAGTCCAACAGTGAGTCACCCTAATTTGAAATCTGTTAAGGTTGGAACAGAGCCTGTCTTATTTGAGCATTTTTTAAAGGACACTTTACCTAGCCAAGAATGAAGGCTTTTCATGGTGTGCGTCTTGAGGAGTAATAATGAGTCCCAATCAGCATTTGAAGGGAGGTGTTTGTTATGGAGATTATGACAGCAAATCCCCACCGAGGCTCTGCCGGCAGCCACCACAGAAGCTTCGTTGTAGAAATTAGGGCGCGCCAGGCCTTGGTGCTCTCTCCTGGAAACTGGGTGCGGGGTGTCCCAGCCCTCTGGGAGAGAGTGAGTGCGGTCTCATGAGTCGTCAGCTCCGAACTGGAAAGAAGAGAGGCTAATGTTGGTTGTTTTAAAATGGAAAATGTGAATGAAACCACTGCTTCATGATCCTAACATCGTAGTCTGTTTAAATGGAATGTTACTGTGGAACCCTACTTAGCACACATCCGTGTGCAGTAAGACAGAGGGGACTGTGGGCAGGTATTTGTTTTCCCTTCCTATCAACTGATGCTTGGGCCGCAGCCCAAGGAGGTAATAAACACGTTCCCCTCTGTGACATCTCACTGTTGTTCAGAACACCCAGAGCATGTAGCTCCTTTTGTGTTCTCTCCTCATCTCACTTGCTAAATAGGCTTTCCTTTTATCAGCAACTGTGGTGTAGGGCCCATTTGTGACAGCCAGATTGTGAGTTTGCTCCTCACTTCCCTTCAGGGATCCAAGTCGTAATTACAAGCCATTCGATCCAGAAGCATCTGCTGTGAGAACACGCGGAGTTTCCGTCTCCTGTCCTTGAGGCACGTGGAGCATAAGTAATTTGACATGTGCTTTCAGGACCATTAATGTAATGGTGGTAAGAAATGCTTCTGTAGCCGGGGCCCTAAAGGAGGACTGAAGGGATCTGCAAAGCTTTGCTTGTCAGTCGTTAGTGGCCATGGCCACAGTTCCCATCGTATGCGTGGCCCACTGGAGCCGGACCCCAGGGTGACCTGGGCATCAGTGGCCACCGTGATTCCCTGGGGTTTTGAAACAAGGGGTGACTCTCCTGCAGTTCTTTACAGTGGCCACGATGGAGTCATGATGGTTAATAAGCCTACGTATGATTCCACAAACCGGGCTGAGCTTCAGAAAAGGTCTTTGACAGTATGAAGGCCCTTTACGATTTACATACCTTCTAATGCCATTCCTACCCTGTGAAGCTGTCATTTTTCAGCACTGGTGAAAGGTAAAGAAACTGAGCCCAGAGACATTACATGAGCAGTTTTGCCAAGGCCGGGGTTTGGCCCAGATGGTTGTATTTTTGTGTTCTCTCTCTTTCTTCTCCAGGAACTGGAAACATGAACAGGCTAATTGGAAACTAATTTTTATGTGGGGGGGAGAAGTAGAGTGGGAGTAGGATGGGTGTGCAAACCTGAGGAGGGTAGCTGACCTTGGACTTCAGGGTGAGTAGTTAAAAGATTAATTTAGTAGCCCTTGGAAAGGGTGAGCTGGGCAGAGAGTTTTCCAGATGGCTCAATTTGTTGTGCTTATTTCCAAGAGTCTGTTCCTTTATGAAAAAGAACGTAGGAGAATATTTTATGACTTTTTGAGTAATTTCTTGCGTTATTTCACTGTGAATAGCATTGACCCTTGAGGGAATCAATCCAGTTTTCTCTGCACGTGGGCTAAAGTTATGACTACTTTGGAGCTCTCCAAGCATCAAATAGCCTGTTCTTTTGAGTTCTAATTAAATAATCAATTTCACAATTAATAAATAACTAGGTTTTACCTTTCTTTAACTGCATACATTTGAGATGGCATGTGTGTGTGTCTTACGCACAGGAAAAAGTTAACCTGTACATTTGCATTGCTGGATCCTTTGAGAGGATCTGAATCCTCCACAGCCTTAGCTATCTGATAGGCATCTTCTGTTCTATCATTCCCACCGTCTTAGGTCAACAGTGTGGGCTCAAGAAATGATCCCTCAGGGCAGGTATAGGCACAAAGCCTGGTTTAACTGAATATAATACGAATATTTCTTTTATCCTTCCTTCAATCTCTGCATTCAACTACACACTTTTGTCTGGGACTTATTCCCCTTTAATAATCTTCTGTTAGTTTCTCTTCCTGAAACTTTAGGGGAGGGTAAAGAGCCTGACACTGTAGAAACAGATTTGAATAAGAAGATAGACAGCTTTTACCTTTGAAGCCCATGTATGACTGAGTTTCTAGTTGCATCCAATTCAACACCCATGTGTTGGGTGTGTTCTGGGTGCAGGATGCATGATATTAAAGGCTGAAAATGAGAAATAACCTCTGTTTTCACTCATCTTGGCATCCAGGGGTGTGAGGGCAGCCTAAAATGACCACCAAGTGAGTGGGGCTTAGCCAAGTGCTATTCCAGGGACACAGGGGAGAAGACTTATCTAACTGAGAGGAATTTGGGGTTAGGAGGGGAGAGAGCAGGAGAGACTTCCTAAGAGAGGGTAATATTTGAAGTAAGGTTGAAGGATATATATATAGTTTCAGCACCGAAGCTGGGAGGAAGGTGGATCAGGCAAAGGAAATTGAAAATGAAGGGTCTGGAGGCAGAACAGGACCCCTCCTTTGTGGGGAGCAGCAGGCGGGCCGTTCTGTTCAACCAGAACATGGTGTATGTTGTAGAATAACAGGAATTGAGAAGGTTAGGTTGTGTCCGTTTTGTGTGAAGGTCACTGCCAGGCTGGTACTTCTGCAGTGTAGTGTGGTGAGCACAGGCACACACCACGTTTCCAGGGTTCGGATCCCACAGTGCCACAGTCACAGCTCACTGTGTGAGCTTGGGCAGATTTCTAGAATTTTCTGAGCCTAATTTTTCTCACCTGTTACATAGAGGAGGATAGTGCCTGCCTCAGAAGGTTATGCATAGTGAACCGACTACTCCGTTTGGCCCCGGGTAATGCAGCCTCTCTGTGGTAATGCAGCCTCTCTGTGATGGATGGTAAGGGATGGATCAGGAGGGCAGGTAAGGGTAGGTGTGGGTTTGTGTTTCTCATATCCCCCTCCCACCTGTCCGTTCCGTTCTGCCCTGAGAGGGAAGGATGAAATTGCTTTGCAGCGGTGATGGGGACTGTTGGACTCTCTTGCCCTGGAGCTTCGTGTGTGTTTCTTACTCCACAGTGACCTCTGCTGGGGTTTTAGTTTGAGTCTGAGCAAGCCTGGTTTGAGAGGTAGGTCTCTGCCTTTATGACTTGTTGCTCACACACCTGGTTGAAGTCACTGCTCAGGTGAGGAGTAACCTGGAGGTGGGACTGGGGAAGAAAATGTGACCCGTGTGAGATAGGAGCCTTCAGGAAAAAGTATATTCATGCCGATTCCCTGCATCCCTGGCTCCAGGCATCTGCTTCTGCTTATTTTTTTCTTTGGCTTTAGTACATGAGAGTCATATTCATTCTGCATTGTGATCACCTTGCTAGGAGAATGTACAGCAGCAGAGCCCTGGCAGATCCAGAAATGTCACTTCAGAGATGAGCACCACATTTTTAAAAAGATAACACAGAAAGATTGTTTTCTTCCCTTGCTTTGCCTAAACCTGTTATTTTGAATTCCTTTAATGTTATCTATTCTAGCCTTTTAATCCTATATAGAAGGATCTTTTGCTTTGTTAAAAAGTTTTAAAAGTTCATGGGGTTCAAAATAAAATCACCAATCAATGATGATTTTAGTGTATGGTGAATAGGATATAATAATGTGATGGTATTGAATCTATATGTAACATTTGCTGGTGTGTAAGATGTTTTCACATATATGACTTTGCTCACAAAAATTTGTATTATGAGTTAACAAATTTAATTATATTAATTGTATCCCCTTTTACAAAATAGAAGACAGTGCTTAGCAAGGTAAATGTCCTGTCTTACTGCTGGTTAAGCGGTAGGGTTTGTGATTTGTACATCTAATCTTTTGATTGCAAATCCCCAAGTCTTTTCTTTGCCACCGTGCTAATACAAGAACCTAACCACCTAACCAGAGGAAAAAATTTCTGAGTTGCTTAGGAAGTGTTAACAGTTTTTTTTTTTTTATAAATTATGGAAGTTCATATTAGCATGACATCATTGAATTCTTGTGATGATGAGGTCTAGGAAACTAAACTTCCTTGGGAAAAGCTTCCTAAAACGTAGTATGTTTGAGGATAATTCCTAAGAGAATATCTAGATATGAAATAGCTGAAGGATAGAAAAAAAATTTCCCAGCAGTAGGGGTTGATTTAGAAATAAAGATAAACACACTGGGATTAAGTGCAGCTCAGGTTTAGGATGTAGGCAGGCATCAGTGGCCTTGGACAAGAGTGGATTAGGATTCACTGGATCATGGCTTCAGTGCAGCTTGCACAGTCCCAACATGACATAGTGTCTGGAACATGGGATGGGGGCAGCTGACTTGAACTCAGCCTCCACAGGTATCAGTTTCCTGTAGGTTTACTGACGAAGCAGCACTGGGCTTGTCTGTCCCCAGGGTTGTGAGAAGCCAGAGGTGTGTGGAGGGTGAAAGGCCTTACTATAAAGTACGCTATAATTGAGAGTATGTTGTTTCAGTAGTTTCCCTCATTTGTTTATCAAATCTGTCCATATTTTCTTTTGTTATCTAAAACCAGGTTGATGAACTTATACATATATACGGTTCAACAGTGGATGGTGCTTCCCGAGACAACACATGGGAAATCCAGACTTACATTCATTTTCAGGATAATCAGGGAGTTACTGTAATGATCAAGCCAGAACACAGAGTGGAAGATGTTTTGACTTTAGCATGCAAGGTAATAGACTTTGCTGCAGAAATATATTTCTTAACAGAAATAATCATGAATGTTGCACTTTTATGCCTTTTAAATATATGTGGTATTTAAGGTCTTTCTGTACAGGGGAACATATTAACATATTTATTAATTAATGTAGTTCTTAATTAGTATTCTTCTCCATCTTTTAGAAGAATGAGTTGTTAGGTCATACCTCTTGCCTTTATGAAGAACCCGAGCTGTTTTGCTGAAATCCTATAAATACATCTTTACATCTAGGATAGCTATGAAGGCTGCTGTCACTTAAGTAACTTAAGAGATGGTGCTCTATAGAAGTGTCACAAACTTTGAAGTAGTCTGATTTAATGCTGAATAGTTCAGTCAAGTTTCTCTAGATTATATGAGTAACTTGGTACCACTCGTAGTAGCTTCATAGAGATTGCTATGAGATGATGATTTATTCATTATTCAAACTGGGTTTTATTTCTTAAAAGGGCGTTTTAAGTCTTAAAGCCTACTGAGGTAGATGAAGTAGACGCAGCAACATCAGAGCAGATGTTTTTAGACCACCAGGTGGCATAGGAGAGCTTAAATATTTTTTAGTTTTCAGACAAAATGCAATCAGGTATATGAAATGGTTAAAAAGAAAGACAAAGAGTTTGGTAACCTTTATCATGTACTTTTAATACATGTATATAATCTTTAATTTTAGTCCTCCTTTGTCACTTTGACTTAAACTTTAGGATACTAGACATTTATCCACGTAGCTTATATTCTTATGAATTTAATTTCCTTTTACTCCATTATGTAAAGTTTTTATCCAGACGGGCAACAATATTGTTATATTCCAATGATACCAGTTATTTAATTGATAGTTTTCTAAGAGATAGAGGATGTCAGAAGAAGTGGGTGCATTAGAATAAACCTGAGGTAATTTCTCACTTTTGTAAATGTGTGTGTTTTTATGAGAGAGAGAATATTAGAGTGTGTGTATGTATGTGTATACATTTTCCTTTTGACCACTTCTTGGAGTAGGAAATTCCTAACTCTGTAGTCTGTAAAATATGAGATTGTTCACATTTCACAAATTTCTCTACTTTAGTAATAGGAAACAGCTTAAAGTCAGGTACAACAATATTTGACATTTGCTGAGATGTGAAGATATATTCTGCTATCAGATATAAACTACCCTGACCTCTTAAAAATACATCTGCTTTTAGTGACAAGCAGTATATTTACAGAAAACCTTAAAAATAATTATTTGTTCTTCTTTCTTTTTTTGCACAAATTTCAGCTAATACAGAGTTAAGCTCCGCAAATCAAACACGTATTCCTTTTAGAAGTTTTCAGTTTTTAATGAAACATGATGAATTGAGAGAGAACATTTAAAATCTGAATAACTGTCCTTTTCCTTATAGATGAGGCAGTTGGAACCCAGCCACTATGGCCTACAACTTCAGAGATTAGTAGATGAAAACATCAAGCGCTGGATTCCTGCACCTTATGAATATGTGCAAGAACTGGCAAGTGTGCAGGAGCTTTCGGAGGGAATTTGAATCACACCTGTGGCCTCTCGGTTTAAAAATATGCTTTTACATAAATTAAATTTTGTATTAATGAAATGATGCATTTAAAATGATGTGATTTTGGGGGAAAATTCTGTTGGAATCTGGCATCTGGTTTGGGAACAGTAAAAATAAATTTCCAAGATAACCATGACATCCAATCCTCTGATTTTGTTGTTTTTACCTTTTGCAGGTTTACGATGAAATAGAAGTTGTCCCGCTAAACATTTACGACGTGCAGCTCACAAAGACTGGGCCCGTGTCTGACTTTGGTGAGCACGAGGAACACCCTGTCAGGGAGCTGTGGCATCCGCCTGTGCCTCGTCAACCCTTTTATCTTCGCACCTAATGTTTTTTTCTTTACCTTTACATTTCAGAAACTATGAATTAATTTCTGAACTTCTTTTTCTTCCTTCCTTTCTATGTGTTTATATTAGTAGGCTGCAGAGATATGTATTCATATTAGGGAAATGCCAAATAATTAAAAAGACTTGAGTATACAATTGATGAGAAATTTGAAATGTTGGTGATGATGAGAGCGTTTACTGTGTGCTGGGTGCTGTTCTAGGCTGAGTAACTCATGACCCGTGTGGCACTTCTTTTCATTCAGTATCTTTGCTCTTAGTTTTCACCTGTCTAGAAGGCCACCATTCAGTACTTCCCCCACCCCCAGTCGGTCTTTCCCAGTGTGTAAATCCCACAAGCTCTGCAAGAACTAATTAAAGGTCTAACTTACTTAAGGAATCCTTACCTGACTGCTTTAGCTTCACTTCAACAATTAAGAGTATTACCCAAATCAC